GTCGGAACATAAGCACCTGAAACAAAATCATCAATCAAGAGCAAAGAAAGCAAAACGAAACAACAAGAAAAGTAGGCCGACCCACTTCTAAATCTTCACAAAAATTAACTAACATTCAGCCCCAAAAAAGACATGCAAAGCCTCCAAAAATAGTGAACAAATCAACACTCGAAGTGGTGCAAAAATCCTTCATAAAATAGTGTGCATAAGCAGCTCAAAACAGTAAAATATATGACCAAAAGCAGTCTTTAAACCTTTCCTTGAATCAACAAAAACATAGAGCAAAACAACTTTTAAACCCTTCTGCATAAATCCAAACATTTCTGCAATTAGTGGTTCGGCTTGCGAGACTGAGTGGCAACCGAAAGAGGGGGAGAGAGGGAGCAAATCCACCACAATAAAGAAGATTTAATGGCTCACAGGTAAGGGGCAGCGTGGAGCAAAGCCCCAACAAGATCAAACATGGCAGTCACGGCTAGGAGCAGCTTAAACAGGCCTTCAAATAATTTCAAAATCCCTAAAAACTACGGCCAAACAGGCCCCCAAGAACTTCCAAAACCACAGCTAGGTAAGCTATCAAAGACTCCCAAAACCGCAACAAGGCAAACCTCCTAAACCATTTCAGAAAATTCCAAAAACGCAACCAAACAGGCCCCTCAGTATTACCAAAACCTCAACTATATAGGTAGCTTAGAAGCATCAAAACCATAGCTCGCACTAGTCACACACCAGTTCGAAAACTACAGCCAACAAGTAGCAAAACTAACTACAAAAACCTCCAAAACCACTGCTTGAATGGACCACAAAAGCTCCCAAAAAGCTGCAGCAACATATACAATAAAACCATCCAAAGAACCGCAAAAACTGCATTTCTTCTTATAACGGTAAGGTGCCAAGTGTCTGCAAATTAAGGTTTTGGTGCTGCATATGTAAACGCAGAAAGATCAAATGGAATGTATGTAAATCTTTCTTGATAACAAACAAAAGTGCACAGGGCTTCAGATTTCCACCGCCTCCCACAAATCAAAAGTATAAAACTTTTTAAATCTTTCCAAAAGTGAGAAAGTATATGTACCTCGAATTTTGAATTAGAATTCACCAAATCAATTGCAGCTCACCAGCAAGAAATCAAAGTAAATGGTTAAACAACAGGAAAAGAGGTAGCTCATTAGGAAAATTACTAAGACATATTCAGAATTTCTGAACATTGGACTGATGTATTTTAGCCAATAATTACTTATCCAAATTATCACAAATGGAAATATAAATGAGCATTTAAACATTACTTTCCAAATCAGTAAAACCAGGAGCAAAGAAGAGTTTTGAAATTCTTTTCTAAGCATACCAAAAATGTTAGCCCACAAGAGCATTTAAATCACTATTTGAAAATCGTAAAGTAAGGAGCAAGTAGAGAGCAAAGAAGAGCTTTCAAAATTCTTCTCCAAACATACCATCACGTTTTGAAACTCAGTAAAGTAAAGAACAAGTAGAGAGCAAAGAAGAGCTCCCCCCCAACCCCTTTCCAAGCTAACAAAAAAAAAAAAAAAAAAAAAAAAAATGCGTATTGAATAGCGTTTTATAGGCATTCCTTCCCAATTCTAAAAAAAATTAAAGTAAGCAAACAAGAGGGATTGGCCACCACCATGTTAAACAAGTTCACCATTCATGCTTGAGTGATTGAACCTTCATACAAGCTAAACAATTATGCCACCATGAACAAGATTAAAGAAATAACAGCACATACTATTCTTCCTCTTCTTCCTTTTTTCTCTTTTTTCTCTTTTTAGCTGAGAGAATAATTAAGACTAGATCAGGGATAGTTGAGCAAGCAACCAATAGCAAAAACAAATAGCTAAGGGAGAAAGAAAACAGGGACTACCTTGCTCGGTTTACCTAAAGGAAGAACACGAAAGGAACATAACTCAAAGAGCACCAAGCACGTTAGGGCAGCACCAACCAAGAAGAAAACTACCTGGAATTCTGGCAGCACCTCCCTCCTTACACCAATTCTCCAACCAACTAGAAAACATCCACCAAGTGGGGTTTTTATAGCCAAAAAGGGGGAGAAACTTTACCTTTACTTACCTAGGGGTGAGCCGAAGCTGAAGGAGATGGGGGAAATGATGACAAACGACGCAGAGGGAGTGACAAGCAGAAGGCAGGAGTGTCGGCGGGGAGCAGGTGGCGATCTTGCGTAGAGAGAGTGGCAACAAGTGCAGATGCAGGTGACAGGGGGACCTCGAGCTGAAGTCTCGCGAACAAGAGGAGTTCGATCGGCTAGGGCTGCACTCAACCAAAGAAGAAGAGGGCTCGGGCGAATTGTCGAGCGGGAGACGGGAGACGGGAGCCGGGTGCGTGAGTTTAGGGATTTATGGATTTAAATAGAAATTTATTTTTTTTTATTTATTTAATTCACGCTTCAATTTTTGTGAGATTTATTTTTGCGCAGCGTTATAGCAAAATGTGTGTCTTTTCTGGGTAAAACAGACTTTCCGGACACGCGGTGCAGTCCGTTTCTTCATCTGACGTGGTTTGGACAACCTCATCGATGATCAGATCAAAAACTCATCAGATTCGGTTTTCTTTGAATTTTGGGTTTGCGATTGATCTTTTCAAAATTTTATTTTATGTTTCGATTAATTATGCAACATATAAAGGCGTAGCTGATGCGAATTGTGATATTTATGCATGTCGACTGTTCGAATTGTGATATTTATGCGTGCGAATGTGCAAATTGTGAATCAGACAATCCTAGGGCTTAATGGTTCTATGGGGACTCCTTTTGAGTTCCCTCATATTGGTTTCAATGTCTTAAGTGCTAGAGGTCAAGAACCACACATGCGGAATTCCAAAAAGAGTAAAGAGGTGGTTTGAATTCTAAAATGAGGCGGGTTCCATTACTAAAGCTCTAGGATAGTCAAAGGGAGAATCTAAAGGCTAGATCCTAAATCCTAAGAAGATAACTAGACCTCGCCAAAAATGAGGTCAAAAGATGGCCATGAGATATTGGCAGATTATTATCGACCACACAATGTTCTTTTGTCAAAATGGTGGTCACATCACTATGTTTGTTGTATATGTTGATGACATAATAATCACTGGTGATGTTGAAGTAAAAATGTTCAACTAAATGTAAGATTGGAGAAAGAATTTGAGGTGAATGACCTTGGACAGCTCAGATACTTCCTTAAGATTGAGTTGGCTAGCAGACAAGAGGGGATGACTTTTTCTCAGAGAATGTATATACTAGTTCTTCTCACAGAAACAAACATGTTGGGATGCAAGCTTGTAGTCTCTCCAATTGATCAGAAGCTTAAGTTGAGTACAGAGGCAGGATAGTCAGTTGATCGTGAGAGATACCTGAGATTGGTGGGTTGTCTGATCTAGCTGAGTCGCAAATGTCTGATATCTCATCTGCAGTGAATGTGGTGAGTTGTTATATGCATGATCTAAGGAAGTTTCATATCGATGCAGTGTATTAGATTTCTGAGGTAACTGAAGAGTGCACCAGGGAAGGGGTCAATTTTTATGAAGAATGGACATATAGACATTGAGGGCTACTTTGATATTGATTGTGCGAGTTGTGCATATGACAAAAAATCCACTTCAGGATACTGCGTATTCATAAGAGGCATCTTGGTCTCTTGGAAGAGCAAGAAACAATTTGTGGTAGCTAGGTGAACAACAGAGGCAAAATATAGGGTCATGGCCTTAGGAGTTACTGAGATGTTGTGGCTGAGAGCTCTGTTGGTCGAGCTCAAGGTGGATCAAGGAACTCAAATGAAGTTGTGGTGTGACAGCAAGTTAGCAATCAACATTGTCAACAACCCGGTGCAACATGATAGAACCAAACATCTGGAGATTGATACTGGAGATTGATAGATTCTTTAGATTCTTCATCAAGGAAAAGTTGAATAACGGGCTAGTGGAGTTAAGTCATCTAGCCACTGGAGAGGAAGTGGCTGACTCCCTCACTAAAGGACTTAGTTCATTAGATCCGTCTAGATTATGTGACAAGATTGGCTTAATGAATATCTTTTGCTCACCTTGAGGGGGAGTGTTGAGATTTGTATCTTATTTTGAGGGGTATAACTGTAAATAGGGATTATAGAAGAAGTCTATGGGCTATTTGTAAAAAGAATTGCAAGGCTTTTTAGAAGTCCAACTAATGAATGAAGGAAAAAATTTGAAGAGCAATTACATTCAATTCAGTTTCCAATTTTACCACTTATTCTATGGGTGAGATTTACATTTGGTTGATGTTCAACTCTTGTTGTTAGGTGATTATGAAATTTAAAATTAAATTTGAAGTTCTTTGTTTTCTTTTGAACTTAATTCAAAATTCTGTTAGGACTAATCCTATGCCAACCTTATGTACTAACATAGATTATGAGTTTATAAATTGTTGTTTTGAAGCATATAATTTCACTAATTGGGCTAAAATGAAATTGATTTTCTTTCAATCTTATGTGTGCAAGTTGGATTTATGGTTTCTGTAAATGCAGTATAAGTGCAACTACTTGATACTGAAGAAAGTCATCTCCTTTTATTGGTGTTATTGTTAATATTTTCTTACTCTGATATTTTCTTTCGTTAGTCAGCTTTATCTATATTATTCGATTCTCTTTTTTTTGATCAAATGCTACACATCAGAAATCAAATCTTTGATATTAAATTTAATATTCTCTTTGATTTTGAGTGTTTCTAGACTTCTTGTTGATTTTTTCAGATTATTCAATCATTCTATTATAAGTTGGGATTTTATTCTAATGCTGCTTTTTTACATCTAGAGAAAGTTTGCTGAATTAATATTTGACTTGTGATTCATTATTTTTTATTCTTTCCATTGAAGGAAATCATAATGTATATCATTTTAATTGCATAAAAGAAAATTCTAATGCTAAGTTGTACCATATCACCAATAATTCTGCATCAACAAAAATATGACAAACAATATTTGGCGGGAATCTGCAAACCAGTCCTTTAATCGAGATGCTCAGTTTAATGTAGTTAAAACTTCAAGCAGCACTACCATGGGAGATCGTGATGGTAGACTTCTGAGACATGAAAGTTCTTCCCAAACTGTAAATGTCGACTCTCAGTTGCTCATGGATGAAGCGTATGCCAGAGAACTGCAAGAATTGGAGAATCAACTTTCTTATACTTCGCTCAACAGAACTTCTGGAACACGAACTGGTATGGTTGTGTGAAATGAATTTCTATCTACTTAGAAAATTTCATGAGTGACTTTAATAACAGTTGGCCATGATTGATTGAAATATTTAGCTTTACTAACTTAAATTTGAGTTTTATATTTAGTGTTGCCAACTTAAATTTGAGTTTTGTCTTCTACTTATGACAAAGCTTACTCTGACTCTTCTCTTTTGGGAAAAAACAAAGAAGTTGCTCGTGCAGAGTCTTGTACATCAGGCAGTAAAGCCACAAATCAGGTAATTGGTTCTATCAAAAGTAATTCATAATGCACTTCTTTCACACCCCACCACGCCCCCACCTCTTTCTTTTCTAAAGATGCTCAATATTATATTTAATATTCCACAGGTTGACGAGCAAGATGATGTTGAACCAGATAATATGACTTATGAGGTGTGTTTGTCTTCCCTAATTAAGAAGTACCATTTTGTGCTCAAATGTGTAGCACATTTGTTGGAAACAAAGTGAAGAATCCCAAGATATCGGCTTGGAGTGCTCACCTTGCCCACAAAAAAAGAAAAAGAAAAAGAAAAAAAGAAGTAACTCTTTAAATAAAGCTTTGAATTTAGTTCAATACAAAAATAAAATTCACTTTTATTTATTTTAAAGTGTCCAATTTCACCTCTAATTTACATTTAATGTTTTCTCGGTACTGGGTATGACATGATGTTTGATCTATTTCATTAGCACCTACTTACTTGAACTGCTTGGATACTCATGTTATTGATACCTTAGTGCCATACTTTCTTGCTACTAATTAAGAATCTTCGCAGGCTTAAATGACTTAAATGATGCTGTTACTTTGGTTCATCTCCTCATTCATTATGTTTTCTTTATTACTTATTTTGTAGTAGTTCCTGTTAAGTTTCCTTTTTCTATTTCTATATGATATTTCATCATCCGTAGATGTGTGATTTAATTTGATATCCACTTATTTTAGGTACCGTTAGGATACTTCATGGTATTAATATCTGGGCTCCTTGGTTGTTGCTGCTGTAATGCTTTAGCGTTTTGTTAAGATAAATTTTTAAATAGACAAAGTGTAAACTTTCTGAATATATACGTCATTTGTATATGTGAATGGCTGTTAGAACATATGTCGGTATTTTGTCTATTTCATTCACTAAATGCTGTGCGTGAACTCGTGCATAATCAGACCTCTTATTTGTCTTATATTTATGTCAGATGCCTTCAATGTTATTTATGATTACTCTTCCCTTTTTACAGGAATTGCAGTCATTGGGTGAAGTTATTGGTGCGGAAAGCAGAGGATTGTCTGATGAGCTTATATCCTACTTGCCAACTTCTACATACAAAACTAGTTTATTTTCTAAGAGAGAGAAAAATGAAGAGTATGTTTATAAACTATTATATCTTTAATCTATAAATATTTTAGTATGAGAGAACATCTTTAGTGTTGCAAAATCTGTTTGATATTAATTTCATAGTAGTATTTATAGTCACTTAAAAAGGTTGTATAATTTTTAAATGTGTTATACGAATTTACACAGATTACAAATTTCAAGTCTATAGATCATCTTGGTAATAATTGCTTTAGTTTCATTCCTTTGTAGCTTCAGTTTTAGTTTTCAGTTTTAATTTATATAAACATGTTATTTTGATTCCTTGGATTGTGGTCGGTTTATGTGGTTTCATATAACTTCTGGTTGATTTTGTTGGTTAATGATTTAGAGTTTTTTATGGATCATGATTGTTTTATTAATAGGTTTATGGCTTAAGGTTTATAGCTGTAATACTGCTAATTTGACTTAACTGGGTTTTACCTAAAGTGATGCTACTTATTGAGTTACGGGATACCCTGTTTTGAAGGTTTATAGGTTGTTCCATCTTTTGCTTCGGTTCTTATCCATGTTCAGGTTTGGTGTTTTTTTTTTCACTTTTTATCCTTATTATAACGAGAATTGCTTGCTGTTTATTGAATTTAAAAGGTACCTGAATATATGATAAATTTTTTGTAGAAGGTAACTACCAATTTTTGTAGAAATCATTTTCTTTCTTTTCTTATTAAAAATTGTTATTGTTTCCAAATACATCATAGATATTGTAGCGAGCTTCGCCTGAGCGAGATTACCTGGGAGCAAAGTATTAGAGGCGGTGGTTGTGAATGTTATAGTGCGGTGTAGTGTGTGGGCTCGAGCATTATAGGTCTGAAATATAATAAGCTGCTTTGCAGTGCAAGCGTTGTCGGGAGAGTTTAGATGGTATTGCAAGGGTGATGCATTGTGCAGTGTGCATCACTGATGTGGCGTTGTGGTGATGTGTTTCTCTGAGGTGTCGTAGGCAGATGCTCATTATCGCATGTTGTTTTTGGAAATTGCTTGAATTGGATTCATTCCAAATACAATGAAAATGAACTATCAGTTTACTTTCCAATCCCTCAACAAGTTATTTTGATTTTTTTTTTTACTTCAAGCACATAAAATTTCAAAATCATTGCATTTGTTTCTCTGCACTCCGAACAAAATATCTTCCCTTTGGAACTTATAACCATCCATAACCCCCACATAAGGTTATTATCAATTTAAGGTTGTAATCTTTAAATAAATGCGGTAGATCGCAGTCTGATCATCTCAACTTTTTAAGATGTTGCTTATAACTCCTATGCAAGTGTTGAGTGCTAAGCATGAAGTAGCAACAACTATTTACATCAGAATCTGGTGATTACCTTATAATGACCACAGCTTCATTAATTAAAGCACATGGCCTTTCTAGGTTTTCTATGTATTATTTGCGCATTCTTTCTCAATAATTCCTTTTTAGAAGTCAATTTCATTGTGACTGTTACTGTTGTAATGCTAACTTTCTTTTCCATCCAGCCCCAATTGAATCCAATTAGTAACGATACAAGTTCATTTATGCGATAATTCTGGAAATTCAATTAGTGATTACTAGTTCGTTTATGCGATTTGTTCTGGAAAGCAGCTTTGCTATATAGCTCTTTGATCATTGATTTGTATTGATATTCATCTATATCTTATTCCCTACTTTCAGTGACTTATGTTCATATGCTGCATGCAGATGTGTGATTTGTTATATGGCTTACAAGAACAGAGATAAGCTGATCACATTGCCCTGCCAGCATCAATACCACCAAGGATGTGTCAGTCACTGGTTAAAGATCAACAAGGTAATTTTGTAAGAATATTTTACATGCATTATTCTGCACTGAATTTCTTTCAAATTGTTAAAGGTGTACTTGTATTTTATGTAAATGGCAAGAAGAATTTATGGTAATACTGTAGAAAAAATGGGTTGTAGGCTTGTAGCCTGTAAGCATTTTGTAGCATTGTACCATATCTATTTTGTTAATTAGCTGATCTTAGAAAATGGTATTGCGTATTGCAGGAATTTTATCCGTATTTTAGGGTATGCCCCCAATACAATTTTTTTTGGAAAGTAGAGTTTGCAATCACTCTACTCTTGTTAAACACATCTAGATTAATTATTCCATGCACATCTAGTTCTAATATACGTACTGAGTATTGAAAGGTACATGCTGGTGGTTTATTTAGGCTACGGCTGTCAAAATGGCTCCTTGTTCTTGTGTTCGGCTCATTCGCTAAGTTAACGAATCGAACACAAATAAAGATTTCTTCGTTCGTGTTCAGCTCGTTTTGGCTCGAAATACTGTTAAAGTATTAATTAAAAAAATAGAATAAAAATTATTAAATTAGATTTAAATAATGTTTTAATATAAATAATAATTTTTAAATCTTACCCCATCCTTTAACATCTTATGCCTATGTAATTAGGGTTGTCAAAACGACTCTTTTAAATCTTACCCCATCCTTGCTAAGCAAACGAGCCGAACACAAACATACTTTTTGTGTTCGAAATATACACGCGCCGACGAGCCGAACACGAGCTGAGCCTGGGTTCGCTCATGCTTTGGCTCGTTTACACCCCTAATTTAAGCTAATAATAGAACCGTTGAGTGTCAAAGCGATAACTTGATTGCTTTCAATTATTGTGATTGGGAGATGCATGCATGCACAAACAAAGTGGAAAAAAAAAAATAAACTGTTTGCAGGAGATAATGTTTGCACTGATACAATTCTGGTGTATATTGAGCTTAATTTTCCGTGCCAACTTCCAGATTTCTTTCTAATTTCAGGCATGTCCAGTATGCAATGTGGAAGTATTTGGATCATAGTGCGACTTTGTTTTCATAGGCTGATAGCGTTTGGCGCTGAAGTACCCTTTTTAAGCAAAATTTGTAACTAAAGTTATGTAAGTTATAAGCCATATTTCTCCCTCGGGCGTTTCTGTGTGCATGCACCTTTATTGGACAGACTTGTTATGTTTCTAGATTCAACAAACAGGTATGAATTTATTGGATTATGTTAATCGCTTTTATAGTATTTTGCACTTCTTTATTTGTTGAAATATTTTATTTGTATACATAATTAACAAATATAGGGCTAGCCCAGGGATTCTGATTGTTTAAAGTATTATCTGCCTGTTTATAAACAATTTAAGTAGATGCATATGACTTGGATAAAATAACGAATTAGTACTTTAACGAGCAAATTGAGATCGATGAACCAGTGAACATAATATAAACCAATTACATAAATATATGTTGCTAAGTTAGACTTATCTTCTATTTGAAGGTGTAATGGTGTCAAGTGTAATATAATTCGAAAGAAAAGCATAATCTCCCACAAGTTATGCTTACAAAATTTAGTTGAAATATCGTTTTAGTTTTTCTAACATTTACATGCCATTTTTTAGGTGTATCCCTAAACTTCAATGAATATTCTTTTCCAGTTTGATTCCATTGTTTGAATGTGAGATTATAGTAGGCTTATGATTTCATCTTTGTTTTAATGTTTCGATTAAAATTTGGCTGAAAGTTCTGCATTAAATAGTATTACCAAACTTCACTATAGAATTAATCGTCGCACCATCAGCCTACAAATCGAAATAACAGTGAATGCTCTCATGCTAATATGAATAAATGATCTCCGTTTGTGCAATTGTGCCATTCTCATCTACAATGATGTTCATATCATACCATCATTATTGATTTTATCTACTTTATATCAAATATATTGAGCCATTAAGTTTAGAAGCAAGGAGCTACCTTGGCTCAAGATGCACTTACCTGTGGGCTAGGTGGCTCTTACGTGGAGTCAGGCAGCACACATCTAGAGCCAGGTGGTGCTCACCAGGAGCCAGTGGGACTCATATAGGACCAGGTGTCATTCGCCTAGGACTCGTAAAACTAGCCCAAGTCATGAAGCCACTTACTTGGATCCAAAGAATGCTGGGTTTGTATTTTTCAAGGATTAGTTTCAGATACCCGGAACCTTAATTATGAGAGATCCACATATCAAGACCCTATAATAAATATGTTAATTTATTTTATTCTTTCTACATGGTTATAGTATTTTGTGTTACAATAAAATGAATGCTTATAGATTCTTTCTTCACCTCTTTCTCTCTCTACTTTTAGTCTTAGTCCACTTATACGTTAGCATCTTAACCTTGTAGTATCTATAAATAAGGTTTGATATTATTTATGAGCAAATTTGAATTAAACATTGTCTTAGGTGTGATAAATATGGAGCCTGACAAGAACTAGAAACCAAATGCTATGAAGGGTTTACAATCCAAGCCAAGAAACATGTAGCAATACTAATGCTCTGGAATTTGTGACCTATATGCAACTTACAAGAAAAGCAACTGAAATGGATGAGTGAATTGCTTGAGAAGGTTGAGTGGTTGAGGTCGTCTTGGGGCAGGTTCCTTGAGTAGCATTTAGAATAAAGACACTAGAAGGATCCATGACTCAATCATACGACGACAACCATAAACTTACAAACCGACAATGCAACATACTATCCAATGAGGAAGAAGATTTACTCTCCTTGGGCCGGTGAGTTGGGAGGTGGCAACCATAACTAACAAATGCATTCTAGGAAGATTGCAGGGATGATGCCTCTAATAAAATTTAGGGTCATTTACTTACATACAACACAATTATGCATTCACATATTTAACACCTAAACTTTCATATTTACTTGCATCATAGTCAAATTTTTAATTTCACATAAAAATATCAACATGACTGACTTTTTAAAAGTGGAACATTCATTTTTTATGCATATGCTTATGACACCAAAGCGTAATAAATATATCTAATTTTTTGTTAGGTATGTAAATATATAAAATTTTATGGTATGTAAATCCTTTTAAAATATAAAATGCTAGAATTTGAATAATATTAAGAAAAGATTAACCCAACAATTGGCTGTTAACCTCACTATTTATCACTCTCTCTCTCTTGAACAAACCTTTCATCTATCCTTCATTGGATGGGTGCTCCATACAAAACAAGATTATAGGGCTCAAAATGAGCTCAGTAGCATTTGGATATCCCAAAATTCTGAATGAGGTAACTATTCCACTTTCTTGCGTAGGTATTATGCTGCTGGCTAGCTAAACCAGTAGTAGCGCAGTTACACCACAACTACTATCCTCCCACAGCAAATCGAGAGGGCATAACCTTGGCGCCACCCATGTGTTGCCTATGTGCCTCTCCATTTTGGCATAATTACATCACTTTTGGTGTAGCTATGCCAATGTGGCTGCCGTAGTTACACCACCCTATATGCTCTCCCACTAGGCGTTGCGTTCCCAGCCGTTCCAAGCCGAGAGATGAACACCTTGGCGCCTCCTCAGGTAGCCTATGTGTCTCCCAACCGACGCCTTGTTCAACTTCTGCCCGCTCTGATTCGAAACTCCAATGCTTCTCGTTCAGTTTCTCGTTCTCTCACCATTAAAAGAAGACCTCACCCTCTCATTCTCACCCTCAAGACAGGCTCTTTCCCCCACGCTCTCTCCCTCTTGATCTCTCTCGCACGCTCTCTCCCTCTCGATCTCTCTCGCTCTCAATATTTCTCTCTTGCTTCCCCTCTCCCTACTTGCTCCCATTTTTTGAAACTCCCAACTTCCTCCTTTCATTATTAATCCTACTCGAGAGCCATAGAAAAAAAGGAAAGCAAGGCCTCCAAATCCTCTCGGAACCTCATTCAAGCAATCAAGGTATGGTCCTTCCCTTCCTTTTAGCTTGGTTTACCAAGCATGGTCCTTTGGTTTTGTGAATTAATGGATCTAAAAGGGAATTTTCATATATTTTCCATTCAATATACATGAATTGACATGTTAAATTTGGTAAACTAGGTATACTCACATGCTTCTAAATTCATATATCCTATGTATGATTCACTTGCATCATAATTTTAAAAATATGATGTGAGGCTTTCTTTTTGTGAAAATATGATGTGAGTAGGATTTCCTTTTTGAAAGCAAGTTGTTGGAATTCCTTCTAAGTCACGATTGTATCTGTTATTTCTCTTCTAAAGCATGTTTAGATGAGATTGAACTCAGAATACTTTGTATGTGTTATGTTGATTATAAGAATTGTATAGACTATGTCAATTTTGAAAACATTTATGTGTTATGTTGATTTTAAGAATTGTGTGGACCACTTCAATTTTTAAAATATTTATTTTTTATTTTTATTTTAATTATATAAGCTAAATATTAATAATTAAAAAAAAAAACCTTTAAATTTTAAAATACTTTAAATCTTGAATAAACTAAACTCTTAAAATAACTTCCAAATTGTTTAACCCTAAGTTTTAGAAATACTTATATTATTTAAACCCTTTGAATTTTCTAACACTTAAGATCATAACTTTCAAGCCAAAACCTTCGTTAAGAAAATAAATTAACAAATCAAGATTCAAAATCCTCTAACTAATCAAGCTATTTTCAAATCACCATTTATAAGCTTACACTTCCCAGAGGAAACTCAAATTTACATCCTTTCCAAACAAGACTTATTCATGTAAATTCTCATGCTAAATCATGCAAACTTAAACAAGTTTATCATAAGTAAACATGTAATTATAAATTTGTAAGCATTACAAATCTCTATATAAATGTGCAAGTTTATATCTAAAAGTTGCAAATTTATATCTAAAAGTTGCAAATTGTATGGTTAAGACAAACATACAAATCTTAATAAATCCATACAAGTTCATGCATATCTACATATTTAACACTTAACCACACAATTCATTTACATGCCTAAAACGAGTCAAATTGACTCGTAAACTAATTCGAGCTCGACATGTAAATATATTTATTGTACTGAAAGAATATGTTTATAGTACTAATTCAAGCTCGACATAAACTAATTCAAGCTACACAATTCATTTACACTTAACCACACAATCCATACATGTTAATATATATATATATATATATATATATATATAAAATTTGAATGCGCGCGCGCTGATAGAAATTTAACATAAAGTTGCTAATAAGTTTTAGGGGTAATTACATACATGTGTAGAATTTTTACATATTTAGATGTCTTATCACCAGAATTTCTATATTTACATGCATGCACTCAAATATGTACCATCAGAAAAAATAACACTTGCTGAACTTTTTATAATTGAAATTGATACGTGCTAGAAGATTTGCAGCGATAGAATAATGAATTATTGTCATAACATTGTACGAAGTTTCAACACACACTCAAAGAGAGAAAACAACTAGTAGAGACACTGGAAGTTTTTACGTGGAAAACCTGTAAAGGAAAAAAATCATGGGTCTGAAACAATTGTAAAAACCCACCATAAGCTTATGATTGCAGAGACCTCTTGTCCCAGAGACGTGAAATCGTTACAAATTCTTCCGAAATACAACGTTGACGTGCAGGTGAACTTGTTGCAAGGAGCGGACGACAACTTATATCGATCGGCGGCGACCAGCAGGTGGTGGTCGACAATGGTTAGCGGCGACAAGAGTGAAGCTGGACTTCAATTCCTTTTCAAAGCTTCGAGCATTTTATCAAGTCTCAAGCTGCGCTTGACCCAGTTGTAAAAATCTACTATAAGATGATGATTATGAAGACTCTTTGTCACACAGATGGGGAATTGTTACGGATTTTTTCAAATTACAACGTTGACGTGCGGATGAACTTGTTGCAGTGAACAGACAACGACCGATAACAATCGGCGGCGACCGACAGGTGTGGGTTCACAGTGGTCGAAGGTGGCCAGTGACGACAAGAGTGATCCTGGACTTGAGGTCCTTCTCAAAGCTCCAAGCTTTTTCTCAAGTAATAAGCCCCCCCTCTCATTACATAAGAGGTAGGGGGCTCTATTTTATAGAATTTTGGGTGTAATTAATGTAGGAATACGAACCGCTTTGATCGGACTGTTCGGAGAACTTCCTTTGTTCATACAACATTCTATGAACATTTAGTGTCTTAACAATATCATAACTAAGCAAACTTAAGCTTGTTGGAATACTCTTGTTGAGACGCTCGATTGACTATGAACTCATTAAATTCGACTTCCATTTGACATTCCAAATGTATCTGAAAAACTTACAAAAGCGACTTAATGGCTTCATCGACGCTTGATTTGGCTCAGATTGGGCCAATTTTGGTATCATTGGGAATGTTTTGTCGAGCCGGTCAGTTTTACTATAAGTTTATTGAAATCAGAGCTGCTCCACATCATTCTTCATCAAAGTTTGAATATTATTTATTCAAAAATAGTCTTGAGATACATATCATACCTCGAGATTTGTGTCTTATGATAGAATTTTGTTGATAGCATATAAACACTTACTAATTTTTGTTATAAATTAAAATAAGAAAATCATATAAATAATTTTAACTATTTTAAAAAGATAAATAAGTTTAAAGATCAATAATATTCGAGCTATAAATAAAATGAGAAAATTACAAAAATAAAAGTTTCATAAACAAAACCCTCACAGCAAACATAAAAGATTTTTGCCCATGAAGCCATAAAACCCTTTCATTATATTTATTTACAAATAGATACTTAAAACTAAAAAATAAATGCCATTTTTAATTTTTTTTTTAATTTTTGGTGACAATTTTCTTGAAAAACATAATTTACATGATTTGTCTTAAAAATTATAAATCATGTTCTATTACATTCTATTCCCCTTTTAGATAGTGTTTGGTAGCTACTTTTTCAAAGGATTTAGCTCAGAAAATAAGAAAATTGGACATGCCGAACATGAAACATGTCAGTTGATTTTAAGTGAACTTAACATTTCATAATGTTGTCATAAGCTTTTAATATTTCATAATGTTTTCTTCCCTAAACGCTAATAAAATTGGTTACAACTCAAGTTGAACCCAACTTAACTACAATTTACATAGCCAACAACACAATTCACCTCAAAAAAGAAAAAAAAAAAAAGCAAATATTGTTATTTACAAGGTTGGAGCCTAGGTGATTTTTTTTGAACTACTGAATCGACGTATTTATGAATGCCACGATGAAAATTTGATGAAAATGAGGGTCGTGGTAGAGGTTTTATAGTGAATTTTGATTTCGAGTGATAATTTGACCCCCAAAAAAAAAGGAAAATTTACATAAATACCACTCAATTTTATGAATTTATAGATCTACCACATAAACTTACATATGGTGATGTTTTTGATGATATATGAAAGATTTGGGTGGTAGAAATGTAACAAAGCAAAGTTGATGTAAATACATAGGAATTGGGTCGTATGTATGTAAATGCCCCCCGCCCCCCCCAAAAAAAAAAGATAGAAAGGCGTGTATCAGTGCAAAAATTGATTTGTCAATTCAGAGTTTGGGAATAAAAAACCCTACAACTACCAATAAATACATCAAACTCAAAATAAAAATGAAAACGCCCATTAACTAATCTCATTACAAAGTAAACCAAAAAATACCAAAACTACAAAAAGAAGCATTACCGGAGTCTGAATCATCCATCCAACTCGAAGCCTCGAGGAACAACCGTTTTTCTCTGGCGATCCCGGTCCTGGTCCCGAGCCATTGGTTCCTTCATTGACAAATGACAAATCAGATCCAATACTTTTTAGGGATATCAATAAGCATGTCGTTTGTGAACAGATCATATTTAACTAATTAACGAGCCTTACATGAATAAACTTTTATTAGATCGTGTTCGGCTCGTTCTGACTCGAATTAGTTAAATAATTAAAAAAATAACGTTTTTATATTAATTTCGTATGGTATATTTTAAAAATATTAAATTTTATTATTTTCAAAATATTTGAGACAATTTCGAGCCGAACATGAGCTCAAACGAAGACAAATTTGAATCGATTCATGGGCAATTTCGAATAAGAGCCTATTTCAAATATTTTTTTTTTTGAACGAGCCAAATATGAACAAGCACTGAGCCCCAGGCCAAGCTTCACACCCCTACAATTCTTCAACACAAACCAAACAGAAAGTTTTCATATGGAATGTTAAGACTCACCGTTGCATGTAGAGTGGTTGTTGAGTGAAGTAAAAATGCTGCCTGCATTGTAGCCAGCATAAGAGCAGGTAGAAGTCCCACAAGCTGAAACAGAGCTGTTGCCTATGAAGAGGCTGCCACATTTAGCTGCAGGGCATGAGTTATTGCCTATTCCTTGGGTCGGACGACACTCCAATCTGTTATAACAATGGTCAAGATTTCATGCCACCCAATTCCTATATATTTGCATAAATAACATCTAAACTTAACTTTTTACACTTCTGCCACTCAAATCTTTCGTATCACATCAAAAGTACCCACATTAACTTTTAAAATGTGAAATATAATATTTCATGCATAGGCAAAGCGGCATACATGTGAAAAATGAAGTTTAGGTGTTAGATATGTAAACTCGTAGGAATTTAGTGGTATGCAAGTAAATATTCCATAAATATTTGCATTAAAAAAAATTATAGAGATACGAATTAAGTGAGAAAATGAATAAATGGGAGTTGAATAGGATATTAACTGCCATGTGGTGGAGCTGCAGCTGCAGAGGACACAATTCTTGGCAGTGAGAGCATAGCTGCTGTTAGGAATGCGCAGATTGTGATCGAGAGACGAGTTGCTTATTGACGAGGAACATGCTGCCAAAGTGTCACTGAGTTCATTATTCTTTACTAATAATTAAGTTGAGAGATAAAAAAGTAACATAAAGTTTACTTATTTAGGTTCTGTGATGAAAAGATTGTTAGAAGACCAAAGAGTGTTGTTAAATGCTGATTTGAGGGGAGTTAGAAGACTCAGATTTTACTGCACTGAGGTTACTAATATCAACTTGGATGGTTAATATAGAAATATAAGTAAAATTCCAAATTAGTCTCTGGACTATTGCATGGGGTTATTTTAGTCCACAGTTTACAAACAAGATAAGTTAGTCCTCAGTTTTTTAAAATTGTGGCTGAAATAATCTTCCATAAAAATTATTTCAATTTATATAAAAGAGTTTGTGGACTAAATTGACACTTTTATAGGCTATTGGGATTAAAATGAATCCATGTATAAAGTTAGGGAACTATTTTGACACTTTTCTCATAAGAATGCAATGAAATAAATCCTTATCAAGAAATATGCTTTCTATGAAGGTCAGTAATTACTTCATAATACTATTTACAAGTGTAATTATTTGTAATTAGTCTGACAAACACAAACACAAAAAAATAAGTTTTGGATGAGAGCAGTGCACTTGTTACAATAGAAAATCAATTAAAAATATCACTACTGTAGAGTTGTTGAGCACTCTGTTAAAAATAGTGAAACATCGATGCCATTTTCCAATGACCTAAATCAAAGATGACAAATTTTCTTAAAATCATTCTCGTTAATCTAATTGACAAAATTGTGACTTATTAATGCTTACAGATTCATGGAGTCGAGATATGCAGAATAGTATCTTCGGATTATCAATTGGAGACATCACCAATGGCTGCTCTTGCTGGAATAACGCTGGCATCCCATATCAATCCAGACCTAAGTTGGTCAATAAGGTCAACCCGAAAGCTCAAATTGTGTGTTCACGTTTTAATAGTGAAAGATATAGGTTGAAATATTCATTATTGAGGAATATTCCTAATAATGACAATAATGTCCACAAAATTTATAAAGAATCCCTCATTGAAATCAATCAAAGAGATTATTTTTTGTGTTTGAAGGCCACTTTGATCTTTTTAGAATTACTACAAGGGACATCAATATATCAATAGTTGTGTTTGTCTGGGAATCTTCAATTTCATCGCGATAGTCGCAAAATAAAAAACTATGTATTTCTTGAGATGTTTGGAGCAAGATACACGAATAGCATGTGTTTTGATGCTAATTGCAATAGAGGCAAGAGAAAAACACCGAACCAAACAACACACAAAAATCAAATTTTTAAGTTTTTTGGTGATTGAATTGCGTCCACTATAAAGAAAAAAATTTAAGTGGCTTGAGAAAAGTTTTTACAAGGTGAACTTCATAAGTTCTTGGGACACATAAGTTCAAAGAAAATGAAGAAAGCGGAAAAGTTACCAGGGAAACCATTAGGTCGTCAAAAAAAAAAAACACACACACACACAAAAATGCCTAAATATTATCTTTATTACATGAAGATCAACCTACTTGTAATTATTGGTGTGATAAGATGAGGGCCTTAAGACAATTAGACGGGTTATATGTGTAATGGTTGTAAAGTGATGAGCGAGATGATTCCATTTTCTTTGGGAAAAAGTTAGGAAGTGGCGAATAAAATAGAAATGAAGGGCTACATGGCAATTGATGCAGAAAAAATATCATCAAGTAGTTGTTTGGTTGATTCAATGGTGGCAAGGAGTTGAATATGAAAGGTAGCACATAAATGGCAATCATAGCAAATGAACCCGACAATGATTATGAGCAAGCTAACAAGTTTCGAGGATAATTGAAAGAGTGGAGTGGGACCCTCGATGGGTGGGGTTCAAACTCAACCAAACTAACAACCAAGAAGAACGAACCAAACGGATGAGAGCCAAAGCAAAGTGTGATTAGATTAGTGTTAAGAAGCAGACAAGTAGGATGAGAATGTAAAGTGGAGTCCTCCGCTATATAGAATATTCATCAATATTACTAGTTAAGTCAACTTTTGTAAAAATTAAGATCGGCTAGGACAAGGATGGCAGCATAGATAATTCAATTTGAGCTCCAAGTAGGCACTAAGGATGAATATGTAAAAAGAGGCCTTACACTTTTGTTCCTTGCTTCAAAAACTGTACGTTTGAAACAATGAATCAAGCCAAGCATTTCTACTCATATTCCTTAGTTTCCACTGTTAAGGATTTGAAGCTTCAACTGGTAATTGCCTGAAGCAAAAAATTTGGTCTATTAAAGGAAACTTAATAAGATTGTGGCAATATTCAAGAGGTAGGAGAGCAAGTATCAAAAAATTAGTAATATTTACATACATACCAGTCAATTCCTATGTATTTACATATCTAACATATAAACTTCAATTTTTACATATGTACCACCATGCCTATGCATGAAAAGGTGTATTTCACTTTAGAAGTAGCGGTATTTTTGATGTGATATGAAAGATTTGAGTAGTATAAATGTAAAAAGATAAAGTTTAGATGCTAGATGTGTAAATAAATAGGAATTAGGTGGTATGCATGTAAATTCCCCAAAATTTTTTGTGCACCTGCTCCATTGGTAGTTCTTGTGGTGTATACACCTGAGGCTGTGAAAGTGTTTTGCTAAATGGCTAACTCACTAATATGTGCTAGACTTTATTAAACAAGGAACGGTTTGGATGGCTCAAAACCTCAATGAACTTCAAGGAAGAAGATGAGAGATTAAAGAATTGAAAGAGCTACAAAAACACAAATGATAGGAGTTGACGGCCACAATGCAGAAAAGGCTAGTCACCATGGGCTTAGAGGTTCAATGCGAAGTTTACATCATTTGAATGCTACCCAACTACTAGGCAAATCTAGGCTCCATGCCAGATCTCGACATTGCCAAACACAAAGTACAAATATGCATAACTAAAAAATAACACCCATATTACAAGAAAAACTTCCCACCTTTTTATTGACCGAGAATTTACAATGATAAGGGGCTCCTAACATATCTCCAAATGTATAATTACACCTATACATCCATACACTTTCATTAATTTACTGTAGCATGAATCAAGCACCACCATAAGCATTGCTCGGTTGTTTAATCTTTCTTTGGGACTAACAAAGGTAGCAAGGCTACCCATTAAATGTCTAAGTCTATGACATTCTTTAAGGGTCTAAAACTAGTCCACAATGGGCATATAACAATAACTATGACAATGCATTGAAGGGTGCAGTCGAGTCAGACAAACATGTTAGTTAGGAGTTTCCTTATTTCCATTTTTTGTGTAAATATTAAATAGATTTGTTTAGATCTCCTTAAACATTAATGAAAAAGTATTATGAATCTCACTGTCTTCTTATACTTTTGCTTTTAAGCATCAGAAGTGTCATTTAGTAATCAGATGAATTTATTCAATCTGGCACATGGACCATTTAGTGCGATTAAGTTCAAACTATCTTATTCCTACTATTTAGCATAATTTTATAATCAAAGTGAGGCGAATAATGATATAAGGATCTGAAGCAAATCCTAAAATGTCAGCTAGCAAATTCATATTTAGAAAGCTCGCTTATCAATTCTTAGTTAGAGTGAGAATGACCAGTAGAAGGGTGTTGAAATTTAAAATAATGCGGAATAAGGTGGAATACTTTGGAATCACTTAATTTCATTGATATGAACGGGGTTATAAATAACCCTTACAAGAATCCTATAATAGAAAAAATAATAAAAAAGAAAGAAAAGATATATCACATGATATACATGATATCTCCAATAATTAATTCATATTAATTATTCGGAGATAATAGGGAATAATATCAAATAGGAAAACAAATAATTCATAATATATGAAAAGAAAATATCTCCTTATATTAAGGAAAGAATTTATTCCTCATAACTTTTTCTATGAATAAACTATTTCTTATTATAAGTCAACATGAAAGACAATAAATTTTGTAATTTAAATTAGATATTTCAACGCTTCCCCTCAAGTTGAATATGGTTGAAAACCATATTCAACTTGAATTTGAAAGCATCGACTGCAGTATGCTGACTGGACAGGTAACATCAATTTGTCAAAAAACTCCAACAATCCTCAAATCGTAAGTGTTGAAGCCTGAGAGTGCTGAAGTCTGAGAGAGCCGAAGTCTCAGAGCTCCGAAGCCGAGAATGTCGAAGCCTAAGAGTGCCAAAGCCTGAGAGTGACCGAAACCTGAGAGTGGCTGGACGAGGGCTAAGCTCAATTTCAAGACATTGATGAATGTGTAAGTCACTGGTTGACTGATAATTGCATGAAAGCTGTAAGAAGGCTGCAAGGAGGTTGCAGGAAAGCTGTAAAGAGACTGCAGGGAGGTTGCAGGAAAGCTGTAGAGAGCCAAAAATAGTGCTCAGGAAAGCTGTAGTGCTCGGAGAAAGCTGCAATAATGCTGCAGGAAAAAGCAGTGCTTTCCTTGGGAAGAGCTGGCCAAAATCTGCAGGGAAAAATTTGCTGAGGTAGATCGGACGGCGAGAAAAGCTGCATGAGGGAGGTCCGACGGCGGGAAAGGCTGCAGGGGAGAGAACCGGCTGCAGGAGTAAGCCCGAAGGTCCAGTCGGCAACAGATATGTCCACAAGTTCTGGCGGCAGGAAATGCCGCAGGAGGGAATTTCACCAGCAGAAAGGACTACAGGAGGGAGTTCCAGTGGCAGAAAAGCCATCAAGGGATAGGTCCCGCTGTAGGTAGGTGCTTCGACGGTCCTGGAAGGAAATCGGGAGGTCCGACGACTGGAAGATCATGCAGGAAGGATCTGTGACTGAAAAAAAAACTGTAGAACGACCATGGGAGAGCCCGCAAGGAGGCCAGTGCTCTGTGCGGTTCTGCGAGGGACAACGATTTACACCAGAGAGTGAAAACTGGGATTTCAACTGGAGATCTTCAGTGATTTGCACTGGAGAGAAAACAAATCCCATCGGCAAACCAAAATTTTTATTAGAATGAGAAAATAATGTTCGTTGTTTGCTGAAAAAGCAAGTCTGCAGTTGCTCAAATGCCTGCGCAGGGAAAACACCTGAAATTGCAATGGTGTAGTGAACCAGACACCTACGCAAGAAAAAAAATTGAGGCACAACAAAGGCTGCTGAAATTGACTCCGACGACTGGTGACGCCAGCATAGTGAAAAAGCAAGGTGCAACAAAAGCTACAGGAGTTGTCGGATGCAGAGAAGAATGTAGAGAGGTCTCTGGTTCTAATGGCTGCTTGGAGAAGGTCTGGTTGGAAACGCAGCTCCCTCTGACGCTTTAGGCAGGGAAGGAAAAATACTGCAAATATAACCAAATGCAGCTGAGGAACCACATAAAAAAATTATTACTCAGATTGTCTAAATTATATCTCCTCCTTCAGTTTCTCAATTTTTGAAAATACAATTCCTCCCTGTTTTTCTTAAAAATGAGATAACGATAACTAAACCAGATTGTATAGCCCAGACCAACCAATTCCAACACTTTTGGAAACAGAGGAAGAGTATCAATTGCGCTGACAACAACTGATGAAATCCACAGAGCAAGCAAAGCACCAGCTTCGTAAAACAGGATGAAGTGTCATCTAAATCCAACTTGGAACCAAGCTTGCTAAGTCAATCTTCAGCCTCGCTTAGCTCTCCATCACTTAGAGTCTCTACAAATGAGAAATCCTCCGTTACCAGAGCCTTCTTCAGCTCCAAAGCATCGCCGAACTTCTGAGACACGATGGCCGAGGTCTCTTCAGAGGCCGTGGCTCTTGACCAATGCAAACATGCAAATCCGACCAAGAGGAAGAAAGAATCGAGGATTTTAAGAGCGGAGAGATCAGTCGAGCGTTAGAAGAAGAGCGAAGGCCGAATCTGTCGGGCGTGGAAGGAGGTGGTAATCAAAATAGAATCTTGATTTCTACTATAGGAATAGTCCCTGGATTTTCTCTTGCTGCTGCGGAGATTGGAATGCGTTTTCCATTCCTGGCCTACGAAAATAAAAAGGAACCCCGATGCGAAAAAAGGAAGGAACATGCGGAATTGGAAAGCTAGATGAATCTGCGGGTGACGAGTGGCAATGGGAGCGTTGTTGCGGGAGAAGAATATCTCGACCGATCCGGTGGCCCATCGGAGTACTTGGTGGAGGCGATCAGTGAGGTTGATCGGAGCACACAGAGCCGTAGATCTATCTCACTTGATCTCCCCACTCCGTTTTATCGTCATACCAGCAAGAAATGATGGAGATAGCCTCGTAGCAGGATAAAACGGCGTACGGGGAACAACAAGTGCGCCCGGAGGTCTTCCTACTCGACGGATGGATGATCGACAAGCGCCGCCCCCGAAACTCCAAAATGGGAATGGATTACGCGAGCGTGGCAGAGTTTCTGAATCGCTTGGGAAGAAGATTAGGATCGAAATCATCGTCAAAATCAGCTGCACCGGCGGAGATGCTGTTATGGGTGAAGTTGATACGCTCGCAGCAAATCTCGGCGAAACCGACGTAGAGCAGAGTTGCAAGGGGTCTGGAGAAAAAATCGTTATTCCCCTCCTGCACAGAGGATGGCAGGGAGTTCGACAATTCTCAAAAGAGGATCAGTGGCTAGAGTACGAAGTTAGGCTTTGATACCATGTTGAAATTTAGAATAATGCGGAATAAGGTGGAATACTTTGGAATCACTTAATTTTATTGATACGAACGGGGTTATAAATAACCCTTACAAGAATCCTATGATAGAAAAAATAATAAAAAAGAAAAGGTATATCACCTGATATCTCCAATAATTAATTCATATTAATTATTAGGAGATAATAGAGAATAATATCAAATAGAAAAATAAATAATTCCTAATATATGAAAAGAAAATATCTCCTTACATTAAGGAAAGAATTTATTCTTCATAACTTTTTCTATGAATAAATTATTTCTTATTATAAGTCTTAACATGAAAAACAATAAATCTTGTAATTTAAATTAGATATTTCAACAAAGGGTAACTAAACAAACTGCGAAAAAGCAAGGCAGAAAGGTGGATTGACAAAAAGTGACTAATGGTTGACAAGGAAAACTGACTTAAAATGGGATCGAGGAGCTATGTGCCAAGCAGCTACAACTTTCCCAAAACACAAGACTACCGCAAAAAAGGAAAAAAAAATATAGTGGACATATGACTAGCAATTGGTAATGTTTATGAAAATTTTGATTGGATCACTTGGATAGGGGAAGGGATCAAGGGGCCTTGTTAGGCTGCTTTATGACCTTCGCAAAACACCAAACCACTAGAACATTTGTGAAAATCAGGGAGATTTTGACATACTTAACAAGTGATTGGTTGAGTCAAGGGAAAATTTTGTGAGACAAATATGAATGGCGGGAAGTATGAAGTGATGTGCTTACAAGCTACAACACAATGATCAAAGAGCTAATGGTTGATGAGACGGTGGATTTGAATCTCCTCATGTTAGGCAGCTCCTCAATTTCTTGCACTGTAATGTACAGAGACAAAAAAAGGCAAAAGGAATATTTAGGGTTTTTTTTCTTCAACTGAACAATAACTTTGAGCCTCCTTTATACTTTTCCCTCTTTCCCACTTTTCTACTTAGTTGACAACATGCAAGTTAGAAGTGATGTCACAAAAAGTCCACTTAATCAAACACAAATCTATTATGTAATTTCTAGATTGAATTGAAAATATTTCAAGCTTCGATTTCAATAATTTTATAATTAGACCGAATGTCTAAATGAGATGAAACTAGCAATGCTAAAGGCAAACTGATTTAAGTCCAAATGAGACTAAATCAAACACTTGAAGTATAATTGAATGTTTCATCCCATCAATTGAAGGGCTAAACAATCATTGAATTTTGCATGATTATATTTGTATCAAGCAACCCGAGAAGAATCCAACTAGCCTAAGATCATGCAATTTCGAGTTCATTAAGGCATTTAAATGATCAAAGCAAAAACAAAAAAAATCCAACTTGGATCACATGATGGAGTGCTTTAGGATTTTGACCAAAATTATCAAAATGTCACTGCCGAAACTCAATCAATAGGACCCTATTTTCAACATGAATAGAGAGAAAGCAAAAGGTTAAATCCATACTCTTTAAAAAAAAAAGAAAATCTTGGAGTCAACGACCACAAAAAAACATCATTGACCACCCCTTGTGGTTGTTATAACGCAACTATTGTCTTACTGTTAGGGTTGTAATCGAGCCTAGCCCAGCCAAAAATATCATTGTTCGGACATGGCTTGGTATAATTATAAGTTGTTCATGTTCGGCTTGAGCTTGTGTCGAGATTCATACTATTGCCAAATTCTAAAATTTTTATTGTAGTACATGCAAATACACAGGCTCAATAACTCAAAAAATGAAAATGGCTAATGACATTAATTTTATAAGTAAACAAATTTTGAGTGTCGTCTATGTAATTCCCCTGTGACACAAAATGAAGCCTTACAATATGGCTATACGGTTATTTTTAAGAGAACTGTTAATCTTTATGGATAACAATATAAAACTACAAAACTAGATCTAAGTAACTCTTCCATGTAAAATTTCAAAAATAGCCTTTCAGTAATAAAAAAAAACAAAATAATAATAATAAAAGTAATAAATCCCATATATCGACATGCAAACGACTATATTCCAATTCTGAACCGTTCAACAACAACTAACTATTTGAGAACTTCTGGTTAAGAAATTTATTATCTATTAAGAACAGTAAACATGCGAATTATTTGAAACAGTCAATTCAAACCAGCATGAACCTGCCATGGCTGTCATATTTTGACAACCTTTAATCGTCTCTTTGGGATCCGATTTTTTTTTTTTTTTTTGTACCAGCTAAAGTCGCTTTTCATGCATTAATCCCGACAGCCTTCGTTAAACCGCAGAATTTTCTACCAGAATTTGAATTAAACCATACCCAAACACAAATGAAAATCTAAGATAAAAATTGCTCATGTTTTGCTTTTCTTGGAGATTAATGAGGGAGGTGGAAAGAAAAAGGGAATGGACCTCGAAGCGGAACATCAAGAACTTGTCCAGCCTGAAGGTCCTTCGGATCCTTGATCCCATTAATCCGAAGAAGCACATTCTGCGAAACTCCAAAACTCTCCGCAATGGACGACACCGTGCTCCCCGCCGCCACGAAATGCGCGTAATGCACCACCGAATCCCCATCAACAGGGTCGCAGCTGCAAGGCATTGGTATCAGAAGCCGCTTCCCGGCCTCAATCAGATTCGGATCGGAAATATTGTTGGCCTTAGCAATTTCCTGGTAGGTCACAAACCCGCCGAAAATATTGCGAGCAATGGAGTCCAATCCATCGCCGGCCTTCACAACGTAGATAGGCCGTCCGGAGGAGTAGCCGGAGCCGGCGGAACAGGAACATGAGATTGGGATGCGGACGGTGGATCCGGCGGGGATGGAAGTGGAGGATCGGGTCGAAGGTGAAAGGTTGTTGGCGGAGAAGAGGGTGCGGATGGATTTGATAGTGAAGAGGAATTTAAGGCTGGAGTAGGTTGTCTTGTTGGTGGGGATGTAGCCGATTAGGGATTGGCAGGTGGGTGTTTTGGAGGTGTTGCAGGTGAAGGGGATTGCTGTGGAGGGAAGAGGGAAGTGAAGCAAGATGGCTAGGAGGACGGAGAGGAGGGAGAGGAGGGAGAGGAGGGAGAGGAGGGACAGAGGTGGGGATTCCATCTGCTTCATGTGCCAGTACTGTGCTGTTACTAATTTATTTAATAAAAACGAGAGTCGATCACCCTAATTAAAAATTTAAAAAAATAAAATAAAAATAAAAATGAGGCTCACTAAAATACATCTTTACGATGATCGACAGTAGAGATCGGACACTGTATGTGATGTCCGTATGGAATAATTTATTTTATCGTGAATTTTATTATTTGAATTATAAATTTAAAAAATTTATCCAAACGGTTGGTTATTTTTGTAAATAGTATGCATTTTATGAATTTTTTTTTATATAATGTAGGAATATGAACTCAGCAAATAGCATTAAATGCACTCATTGGGGACCCAAATTGGATGGAAAGGAGAGAAGATAACCTAGAAACTATAAGGAAAATATAATTTAAGGGAAGTGATAAGATTTAAAAATTATTATCTTTACCAAAGTTTTATGGCTAATAAAAAATATTTTTTCAAATACAGTTTTGGATTTATTTGCCGCAGTTACAGCTGTTTAAATAAATAATAATAATAAGAAGTTGTTATTTAAAAAATTATGGTACTTATTTATTTTATTTATAAAAATGACAGTTTGGGCTGTCAAATCTGGTTGTTGTTTCTCGAACAGCTCATGTTCAGCTCGTTAAAAAGCTTTGTGATTTATTCGTTTGTTGAGTTAAAAAACTCATGTTCAACTCGTTGTTTTGTGAAGAGCCGAACACAAATGCTTTTTTGGTGCTCGATGTATAAATAAGACGAACATGAACAAAAGTTATTCGTTCGTGTTTGTCTCATTTGGGCTCGAAATACTAATTATATATATATATAATCAGAACGGTTTGTTCGTAAATAGCTCTTATTCAATTCTTTTGATATGTTAACAAGCTGAATGTTCACAAAAATTTGATTGTTCGTGTTCAACTCGTTTTGAAATAAAATTATATTACATGATTTTTTAGCATAAAGAATAAGATTCAAATCTTACCCCAACCCTTAACATCCTACGGTTGCGTGATTAGAGCTGTCAAAAAGACTGTTTGTGAACATCACATGTTCAGCTCGCTAAGCAAACGAGTCAAACATAAACTCACTTTTTGTGCTTGAAATATAAACTAATCGAACGCAAATTTGTGATATTTTTTAATGAAACGAACACGAGCTGAGCCTGGGCTCACTCGTGCTCTGATAGAATTTTCTCTAATAGACCCTAAAAATAAACATTTTTCCAATTTTATGTCATTTTGTGTTTCTAAAGGATAATTTTACCTCAATAAAAAGTCTGATCAGGGACCCTGATTTGGGATATTTACATACATACCACATAATTCTTATGTATTTGTATATCTAACACTTAAATTTGAAAATTTATATTTATAAACTTTTTCTTCCAGTCATGAACAATTAAAAAATTACCAATTCATTATATAAAAAATAAGAAAAAAAATAAAAATAAAAAGAATTTTTTTTATGCTTCGAGAATTATATATTATCATTGCAAATAAAACTCTAAGAAAAAAAAATTTATTATAATATATTTTAATTATTATTTTTTATCAAATTAATTTTTAGTAGATAAACAGATGTCTCAGAATCTTTTGGAGCGTCCTCTTAAATTACTTATTTATTTTAAATTTTTTTTTATTTTTATCGAGGATGATGACATCAGCACAATTAAAGGTATTTTAAAAATTAATAAATAAAAGAGGAAAAAGAGAAATGAAAGGCAGGAATAATATTAGAAGGAATAAAAATTTCGGGATCTCTTGAGGCTCTCTTTCATCCATTTTTCAAATTATCACTCAAATATTAAAATCCATGATAAAACTTAACTCATTTTTTTTTCATTTTTATTAAATTTTCAATTATTTGATTGTGGCACGCCAAAATACATCAGTTTGGTGGTTCAAAATTTTCGCATGAACGATAGATTTTGTAAAAAAGTGATGTTTTGGATTGTTATGTATGTAATTATCCCTTAAATTCTTAACACCCGAAGTCTCGATTGCTTGATATTTTGTAGATTAATCTTTTCTCTAATGCTAATCAAACTCCATTAATTGCTTTGATTTTTATATAGTTTCTTCTCCCTCACATGGATAATGATAACTGGGTGATGGTAATCTGACTACCTCTATTGAAGTCTTGTTACTTGTTCATCATCTTCGAATCATCGCATTCATCTGCGCCATCAAAATATTGTTGTTTAATCATTGATTTATGGCCAATGTCACTCGATCACCACCAACATTGGGTAGCAATTATCATTGAACCGTCATCATCCAAACATAATTGTCAAATCTCTATCTTGCTTGACTACAATCGCCCATCCACAATTTCTTGACCAATGTCACACACTTACGATTGCTCAATCACTAATATCAGACTACAATCATCTGATTATAAATGATTGAATACAATCACCCAGTCACTAGAACTTGTTTAAGACACCCAATCAATTGTGCCTGACTAAGATCACAAAAACTCGATTGCCCACAAATGATTATCTGAACATCATTTAACCATGGTTTTCATCTCATTCATTATTACACAACTACAATCATCTGAACATTATAGAACAATGAGGTCGTCCAACCATCATCACAAAACTACAATCACCTAGCCAACATTACCTAACTATTGTAGCTAAGCTATCGTAGCCCGACCTCCATCGCTCAATCTCTATTGCTTGACCTCGGTCGTCCGATCTATAATTGCCCAAAGATTGATGCTTAATCATAATCGTAGAAATACAGTCGCCCAAATACTATCATTCGACTACAAATATTTGATTATCTTTGCCCGACTACGATTTCCAGTTCTTTGTTACTCATCTATGATTGCCCTTACAATCGCCAAACCAACTCCACCCATTTATAAACGCCGACCTCCTTCATTAAACTACGGTCACCCATGTTTCACTGTCCAGCTATAATAAACTGATCACCTTCACATGTTTATGATCACCTGACCACAATTGTCCAAATTTAATAGACCAACTATCTCTATTACGATCACTTGATTATAATCATTCGATTATCATTACCAAACTACGGTCTTTCAACCATCTTTGTTTGTCTACACTCATCATATCTTCATCACTCGTTTACAATCAATTGACTATAGTAATCAAATTATACTCACCCAATTACGGCCTACTAACCATCATTAACCAACAATGATCTTTTGACCACTAACACAACTTGATTTCCTGATCTACCAATGCTTATAATACCAAATTTTGTCATTGATATGCATGTTGACATGAGTTTGCTTTGTCATTTGTTATTGGCTATAGCATCAATACACATAATTGAAGCATCCCATCACCCATTAGGTCAATATAAATATGGATGCAAGCACCTCATCAAAAACAATGCCAACATCCACCAGACCTAATTAGATAAGCCTAATTCATAACACCCATAACATGGCTATACTAGATATTTGATCCATAAGCTTCTATCCTCATAGGAGAGCAATCATCAAAATTTATAATATCAAAATGTTATAAATATAAATATGTAAATATGAAAATTTAAGTGTTGGATGTATATATATATATAAGAGTTGTTTGGTATATATGCAATGTGAATTTGAGGAAATTTTTTGGTTAGAAATTTATGTGTCTTTTGTTTTATTTTATTTTATTATTATTTTAGGAAATTTATGTGTTTAATTTGTATTATGTTCAATGTTATTTTTAATATTGAAAATAATATTTATCTAATGCATGAAAATATTAAGGGCATTTGCATACATATCACATAATTCTTATCTATTTACATATCTAATACGTGAATTTTTATATTTATATGCATAACACTCGATCTTTAAAATTTCATTAAGAAAATATCTCTATTATTACTTTTGTAAAAGTGAAATTTACCTTCTCCTACACAAATTTATGTTATTAAATTGTTATAAATGTAAATATTAAACTTTAGGATTTAGGTATGTGAATACATAAAAATGGTGTGGTATGTACATAAACTTTCCAAAATAAATTTGTAAACTCTCTCATGTAAGAACTTGGGAAAGTATGTTTGTGTTGTTTAGATAGCTGATTAAATCAAAGCATGCAGAGTTTCAAAAGATAATTTATTGTGAGTTTATTTGTGTTTAGTTGCTTGGGAGAGAAAGCTATGTTCGAATTTATATTGTCTTTTTCGGATTTTTGGGTTTCTACATACACACAAATTTGGCTATATAAAAATATTTTTTTATTTTTTTTGATTGAGTCCATCTGTCAAAGCAGTTTAATCAAACTTGTCTGCCGAAGTTGTTATATTTATTTCTCTCGAAAGGACGATCCAATATACTTTTGAGAGGGCAACCATCAGAGAAGATCATCATGACTAGTAAGGGCATCTGTCAATCCATCATTGAAAGCGCCATCCAATATTTTTTACTGGATCTTTTCAACCAAACACGAAAGACAGGCATCGAGACACTGAAGAAGGGTATCATACAGTAAGAAACATATCTCATTTATTATTTTTATTACTTTTCTCTCTTGTGCATAAAAGGAAAGTGAAAAGGAGAACAAAATAGGTCTTTTTCCTAAGGAGAATCCTCTCTCTCTCTCTCTCTCTCTCTCTCTCTCTAACATCTTGTTGCTCAGGAAACCTCCGACGGGCTAGACTTTTCCAAAACACCAGTGATAATAACTCAATGCATTCTCTGAGGATTACTCTCTGAACTCACCTACATCTCTCTCTCATGTTTTCTATCTATGATAAATAGCTTTTACGAGATTGTATGCACTAACAAATAATAAAAGACCGCACATCTCTACAGGATTCAACAATATAACAATATATATTAATTTTGAAATAATCACTCGATCAATGTTCATTAAACTTCCTATTTAATATCAAAAATCATAATAAAACCTTACAATTTTCTCTTCTCTCGACTACTCTCCCATTTGATGGTAATGCCACAAAAAATACAAATTTGATATTTACTCTATTTGGTATGTATTTAAAAAAAACATTTAATAATTATACAAATATACAACT